ATCAAAGCAAACAACAAGAGCAAGGAAAACTGGCTTCAAATTCATTTAAAAAAAGTTTAATCCTTAATTTTTGAGGGTTGAAATGCCAACTACAGACATGTTCTCATTTGCAATAGGCTGGCATAGATCTGAGTCATCACTAGTACTGCACTGAAGCTTTTAACTTAGCACATGTGTTAATCATGTCTGTTACTGTCTTTCTCATGTATGTAGCAACCCATCTCTATACATTTGCTTCCTTCCTCCCTGTCTTTTTCCTCTAAAAATGTTTAGAAACTAAGTTTAGCAGTTAGCCATGTGATCTAGAAAACTATAAGGAGGGAAAAGAAGATTCTGGAGATGAATTTCAAGTCTGTCATAGTCCCATAGAGGGGGCCCTTTCTAAAATCTTGGAACTTTTAAGTCAGTTTCTATGTTTCAAAGAGTGAGGGAATTTAGAAAGGGTGAAACTTATCATGTTTCTTCATAATGCCATGGAAACTATGTGTTGCTTGTAAATGCAAGGACAGAGGAGTTAGGAAAGAGAACAAACAAAGCATTAAGGGTAGCAGTAAAAATGTCTATTACCAGGGGTCTGCTCACTCCCTTCCCCCACCAGGGGCCAATGTTAAAATGTCTGTGCAGACTTCATTCCCAACTTAAATTTAAATTATGTGCTTAAATTTGCAAAGTATGGTAACACTTGAATATGTGTGTTAGTGAAAGATATAAGATGTTTGAAAGTCTTAGAGGGTAGGCCATATGCTAAAAAACACTTCTAAGTCATTCCATGTATTCTGTAGGTGTTACTGAAAACCGAGGGGTTTACCTTTCTCTACTATTCATTTACATAAATTAAGAATATGAGATTGGTTCAAAAGCAGTTCTGCCTCTGAACCAACCTCTTTTATACCAGTGTTGTCAAATAGCAAAGAAACTCAAACCCCAAACTGCAGATTTTTACGGAGAAAGTAAATTCTTTCATTGACATTGATTGTAATTCAAAATAAATGTGATAAAATTAATTGCAGAAAAGTGTGTGTCTAAGTAAGGATAATATTTGCGACTCAATAATCTAGTGTATTCAAAGCCATTCAAACTTACACTGGACTCACTTTTCATGCATACTTGGATGTGCACTGATGCTGTGTGGACACTTGTTATACTTCATTTCTCCTGTTAGAATCTAGTAATTCCATGTTATTTTTTTTAATTTGGGAAACAGTACATGTGGAATGTTTTTATATTACAGAAAAGCCTAAGGCTTGCATGTCAAGACCATACAATTTTCAAATTGTTATTATAAGTAGCATGGATAGTGGTATTTCCTTTGGGTTCCCTTGAATACGTGTTATAAAAAGCTGGCATTGTATGGACGTATATATATTTAAAAGCTTAACCTGTTCTTTTGTTAGTATAAAGTATAGCTGTTTCTTTTTATTTCTTTCTTTTTTCCCCCCTGTGGACCATGAAACACAAACACAGTCCTAGCCTAATTGGAACACATATGGAAGCTAAGATATAGTAAATAAAGTTTTAGACATTTCTGGCCAAAATAGAACTACCTCTCACTCAACTTTAAAAGATTGATTGGATTTTAAAAGTTTTTTAGAAACTAAAAAGAAAGAGTTTGGGGGTTGGACTAACTTTAGTAGAAAAGTATAATGTAGCCAAGATGATAAAATCAGCTTTTCAGGATCTCCCCCACCCCCAAACACTCCTTCTGGTGTGTATGATGTAGGGGGGCTTTGGAATGTTCCACATTTGTTTTTTGTAAGAGAAAAATACTAGGTCATTTTATTTCCAAATCAAAATGTAACATCTAGGGAAAGATGCACATTTTTATTATTAGCACCAGGCATAGGCCTCCCTAAGACTATTTATTGACTTGAATCATTTTAGTCAACACTGCATGAGTGATGGAGAGAAGGCTCAGAAGGGAGTACATATTGTGAACTTCAGTGATTCCAGAAGCTAAGCATGTAACATAAACAGTGATGCAATAGTTTTGTGTATTAGCAGGGGTGATGGGACTTGTGGAGAACTGAAGACACAAACATTCCCATTTTAAGCATTCCAAATGAACATTTTTCAGAAAGCATTTCATGAGCCACATTTAATATGTCTAAGAGCCAAATGTGGCTCATGGACTATAAATTGTCAATACCCATGCTACAATCCTACACTGAAACTTGATTCCAAGCCAGCTTCAAACGAGCAAGAGAAAAAGTGCACATAGGGTTTTTTTTTTTTAATATTGGAGTCTCTTGCATTTTTTGTGATGTTATATGTGTGATTTATCTTGTAAGAATACAGACAGGAAGCATTAGACGTGTGAGAGTCAGCCATTCTTGGATGATGTCATTTCAAAGGAGGCAGAAAGAAACAGGATGAATATATCACTTAATATATTCACATTCATAAATTGTTTTACACTCACTACTATTGAAATGATTTTATTTTAGAATGCTTTATATGTTAGAATAGAGTTTCAATCAAGAAAAATGTAACAGAAGCCTTTTCCTTATGTTAAAGAAGATCTCAAGTAGAGTAATGAGCTGTTAGATTGAAAAGAGCTGGAGACTCAAAGTTTTTCTCTCTGTTTTCTTTCATCCCTAGTGTATAGTCTTTGACTTTACAGTCCTTGGTGATTGCTAGAGATCCAGTTATTGCATGTAGCTTTCTAGTCATCTGGACAGAGAATGAGAAAGCTGTGACTCTGTATTTCTTAAATGGTATCTTCAAAACATTTCAACTTATTTATGCTTGGCTGGAATTTAGTCATATAGTCACACAAAGATGCAAGAATGGGTAGGGAAATGTTTATTTGTAGGTGGACCATGGTTCTGTGATGCTCTACTATTGAGGAAACTAGAAAGAATTTTGAGTGATACACTTTGATAACTGCTCATTTCTGAGCAGAGTGAAAAGCCAAGAACACAACAGAAATGTGTGTGCATGTGTAATAAATATATAATTATTATCTAGACCACAGAGTGAAGTGTCACTCTGAATACTTATCTCTCTCTTCATGGGAGGTTAGGGAATCCATTAGATTGACCAGATATTCCCCCATGATTTCGTATTGCATAAGGGGTTGCCTGCAGATCTTGGTATTGATATAGCTTTCAGGTCTTGTCCTCTTTAAACATAGGTGGTAAGCTCGGATGTGCTCTGAGAATCAAACCTTTGTAGGTGAGCTTTGCTCACACTGGCGAAGCACTACATTATGTTGTTGACCAGCCTGCTTCTGATACTGGTGCAGAGAATGCAGCTTCTATGTACCAAGTAGAAACCCTGGGACCTTTGGTTTCCTAGTGATTCATTTTACTCATGAGGCTGACTGAAATTTGTTGGTAAACCATTACAAATTTGACATCATTTGAGGAAAAGATAAGCCAAAGCCTAACCTCCACATGGTGTTAGGTAAATAATTCTGCTACACAGAGGACATTCATAATTCCAATATATTTCCAGGTAAAGTTGAGTTCCTCTCACATGCCTCCTATTCCTATTTTTCATACACTCAACATCATTACGTCAAGCCTGGGATTGATTATTGTGACCATCCCAAACATGCATTCAGTGAAAGATGGGAGACTAAAACAGGAAGAGCAGGTTTTGTCTTGAGGAGACTGGAATTGTGCTAACCTGACATGGCAGTATGGAATCATTTTAACCATACAGTTTGCTCCATGCCAAGGATAAATCATGTGTCTGTGGCCTCATTGGGCACTTGTTAGTGTTGGTTTGGGAACATTTTAACCTAATGATTTTTGATTCTGAGATCACAACATTGAGAAGTGTATGTTTACATATGAGAGATATAGTAATGGTAAAAGGAAAAGATTAGAATTGTTAGTAAGTAATGTATGATCTAAATTTGGGTAGGTTGTACAAGGTTATAGAACCCAAATTTATCCTAGAGGTAACTAACATTCTTGTATGTATTATTCTCAATGATTTGTTTTGGAGACCTGGATATGACATGAGCTATTATCAATTTACTGAAATTTTGAGTTCTTTGAACTTTTTTCCATGGGTGTGTATACGTGTGTGTGTGTGTGTGTGTGTGTGTGTGTGTGTGTGTGTGTGTGTGTGTTTGTGGTGTGTGTGTGTGTGTGTGTGCTTGGTTGTGGATACACATGTACGTGGAGGCTGTAAATTGACATTAGGTGTCTTTTTTGCTTCTC